GGGGGGCGGGGCACATGATGAAGCCCCGCCCCCTGCTTCCGCCCGCCTCGCTTCCAGCCCTCATTCAGCCAGGAGGAGGCAGGAGAAGAGGGAGGGTAAGTTGCTTCCTCTCCGCCTCTCCCCACCCCTGCCTGCCTGGGGCCAGGGAGGGCCTTGGCGGGGCTTCCTCGCACTCCCGCTGGCCTTGCAGGTCCACCGCCGGGCCCCTGATGTCAGGGGGTGTGGCATATGCTAATGAGTTATGCTAATGAGTTCCCCTAGCTCTTTTTCTAAGAAACTACCCCTGGGCTTGAACATTATTGCACTTCTTCTGGTGTTCAGTTTGAGGTTCCTGAACCCAGTGCCTTTGGTTGGTTGCCCACGGTCTGGCCATGACAATGATGAAATCATAAATCTGACTCCTCTTCTTGCTGTCAAATTACTCTCATGTCATGTGACTTCCTGTCACATGTTTGCAGATGTGGCTCCCATGCTCAGTGAGTCCTGTGTCTGGAAAGGTTTCAGATCACTTCCTGAGACAGATTTTCGGTATTTTTTTTGGGGGGGGGAGTCTCTGAAAATATTGATTGGGATTCTGTCCCATTGTGACTTATTTATTTAAAATATCAATATCTTGCACTCTTAAATCACTGAATTCCAAAAGTGATAATAGTGTAACATTTGCATAGAATTTAACAGTGATAGATACTATTGAAATTAATTTACAAATGAAAAGAAACCCATAACCAAAATAAATCACATTTTTTAAAAACAAAACAAAACCCTGTATACAAAATTTAGCTTGGTTGGAACTTAGCTTGTGGTTTATTTTATTTAGCACAGGCAACATGAGCAATCCAGGCACATTTTGGCATAAGTTTCACTGAGTGACACAAAGAAAGGTGGGCTTACAGCTGTGTGCGGAAGGTCAGGCCGCCACTGCCCCCCAGTTCCCGAGCACAGATTTCATCCAGCCGTTCACTCTGAGCCACAGTAAATTGTTCCTTCCAGTTTCCTACAGCGCCTGAAGGGAAGAACCAATCCAGACAAAAATGAACAATCTGGTTTCTGCCTTTCTTGGTCTCTCAGTGAGTCTCAAGTTCTCAGATGAACTTCAGCGAACTTCATTCTAAACCAGTTTCTCAGTCTCTGCCTTGCACTTTTGCCCCACCAATTCCTAAGTGTTAAAGGATTTTGAGAGTGTTCATGAGAGGCACTGCTGGATTGGGGTCTCCGGGGCCTCACCCTGTTGCTTTTCTACCTTGTCTGCCTCGCTCAATGAACAATCTTGGCAATATCCACATTTTTAAAAATCCCCATGTCTTCTCTTGCCGCATGCTTTGTTCCTCTCTTAATTTTAACATGTGTTCTCAAAGTTACACTGATGTGTATTTCCACGTTCAAAACCTTAGCACTGACACAGTGATCCATGTCCAGACCTTGCCTATTGTATGTTTATTTAAATTATTTATACCCCACCTCATCACTGCAACATTCTTGGAGCAGATCACAGAAAAAAAAATTAAAACAGTAGAAACATGTCAGTCAGCAATATAAAAGCCAAAAACAAGAGATGCAGAAATAGAACAGGCTTAAGATGTTAAAACATAGAGACAGAAAGCCATATTAAATCAAGTAGTGGAGCAAATAATTTAAAATTTGAATCCTAAAGCACTTTAAAAGTCAAAGATATAAACATCCCAAAGCTCAGAAAATCAGTGGCACTCAGCCAAAAAGGAGCTGCCACATATAAAACCAATACTCAGAGCAGAGGGGAAA